CAGAGACACCACACACTAGACCATGTCACCCAAGACTCTGTTCAACCTTGCCTTGAACACTGCCATGGATGGGGCATTTATCACTTCCATGGGCACCCTGTGCCAGTGCCTCAGCACCCTCACAGAGAAGAGCTTCTGCCTTATATCCAACCTGAACTTCTTCTGTTTCAGTTTGAACCCATTACCCCTTGTCCTATCACTACAATCCCTGATGCAGAGCCCCTCTTCAGCATCCCTATAGGCCCCCTTCAGACACTGGAAGCTGCTCTGAGGTCTCCACGCAGCTTCTCTTCTCCAGGCTCAACAGCCCCATGTTCTCAGCCTGGCTCCATACAGGAGGTGCTCCAGCCCCTGAGCATCCTTGGGGCCTCCTCTTGTTCCAACAGCTCCATGCCCTTCTGTTGAGGACACCAGAACTGCATCCAGGGTTGCAAGTGGGAGTTTTTATGCCTGCACACCACAACCAAAATGAAATTGGGATATAATCCACCACTGGTTTATCTGTTCTTGTAACTTAACAGCCTGCAAACTTCCTCCTTGGCAGGACAAGATGGTCAATGGATGCTGACAGGATCATTTGGAGGAGGAGGAAGGCTATTCCAAAGATGCCTTAAACTTTTATCACCTACTTTATACTTTAGTTTTCTGGCACCATATGGAGGCTGGTACCCCAGGCTGGAGGGAACTTACTCTGTTGGCTGAAGTTATCTGAACTATACAGACACGCTGTCTAGGTGACATTGCCATGGTTACGTTATTATCATCACTATTATTACATTTCAGCCTTTCAGGTGTTTTATTAGAATACCTCCTCCCAAAACAATCCCAGTAATCCATCAGCACATGGACTCATCTAAACAAATGTGCTTTTCACTTTGCTCTTTAAGTAACCCAAGGCACACTCTCCTAGGTTAAAAGCAAGCTACTACCTACCCTGTGAAACTGCAATCCACTTTCCCAGAGCAGATAACGAAGTCCTTAATTATCTGGGCTGCTCAGGAACCCTGTGTTCTGTGCCTGTATATCTAAAACCTTAAAATAATCAATATCAGACAGTTATCAGCCTGAATCCTTATGGGCCATCAGGGATTGTTTCTCTCATCCTCACTGCCTGTAGATGAGGGAGTTTAGGGCTGTTGTTTGCATAATGTATCAGCCGGTTTAAATGCATGGATTTACCCTTCTCTGATCACAACCAGATAAAAGGAGGGCAGCAGCAGTGGGCCTGACAGCCTACACACATCTAAGCCTTTAAATGGTCATTAGGGCCTCGCTGCTTGCAGGGGAGGAAGAGCCGCCTTGGGGCTGCACAGAGATGGACGATGCCTCGGAAGCTCTGTCCTCCCCACATACAGGGGAGAGCTGGGTGGGAGCACCCATCCCACATGGTGCAAGCCTGCAGGGACCCGGCAGCTCCTCAGATCAGGCTTCAGGAAGCAGAGCAGCAGATGAGGCTCCGCGCCGCCGGGAAGCCTCAGAAAGCCCTTAACGGCGTGCGGAAAGCCGGCACCTTGTTCTGTCAACTGCCGAGCTTGTTCTCTCAGAACTAAAGGAGCCCTTCCTTTTTAAAGCTGGCAATTTCGCCCGGTTCTGCTGTCACTACCTACGCTTTGTAGTAGCTATCAACAGTTTAGGTGTTGTCTGGTTTACATGCTGAGGCTGCCCTGCTTTACAATGCATTTCAATGCACTTATCCCTTTCTTTATGCTTGCGTGAGACAAAGCGGGGTGGTTGGGTTTGGGTTTGGGTTTTCTTTCCTTTTGCAAAACCAACTCTGTTAACTCTGAAACTGGGCCAGTAACAGAGAGGCTTCTCTCCATCTGCCTGCTCCATCCTTTCACTGCCCTGATGCCTAAAAACCACAGGTTTCAATGGTTCTCAGAGTCACAGAGGGCTTTCTGGCTACCATTGGAGTGCTGCTCGAGCACCAGGACACATCTCAACCACTGCTGCAGCCTCAACAGGAGCATTTCCTGCTGTGAGAGGGGGAAAAATACAGCCTATTTTCAAAGACAGGCTGGAGGCTTGAGCGTAATTATCTTGCCAATCTCTTTTGCCTTGAGTATTATCTATCACCCTGTAGTTTTCTTCCTCCCAGAAAAGCAGATATTAAATTCTACTTTTCTTATGGCCATAAAAGTAATTTTCTCCAAATTATTTCTTCCAGTCCTGCTAAAAACAAGACTGATAATGCAGCAGGACCCCCATCCTCCCAGTAATTACACTCTGCCTCCTCACTCCTTCAATACCAATTTCTCAATTTATTTGGCTTCTGTCTGGAGCTGCAGCCACACACAGACTGGGCTCTCTGTCTTCTTATTACACAGACGAAATCGCTTCAAAAATGTAATTAAACGTTTACCTTGAAGACAACGCTTTGTCTTCTTTAAGAAGCATGGTATCTTAATTTAACCTCATTTAGAAAACCTTGCCTTTCTAAGCTTCTACCTTCAAGACATTACGCTAAACACCAAGCAAAACAGAAAGAGTTCTTCATTTAACCTAATTAAAAGATAAGCTTTCAACTTCTCCATCAGTGCTGTGTGAAACAACGAGCTTGGCATAGCCTTTTGGTTTGATCCAAACTGTCTATTTTATTATCCCTCTGCTTCGTTCTCAGCTGTCAATTTTATTATCCTCCTTGACGCCCACAAATCCTCTTAGAAAGCAGCATTCTCCAACCTTTTCAGTCCTGGGCCCATCTGTAAGAAGATGAAGGGACCACTATCACAGTAGTGGAGGGTTTAGGTCTGGGGGGGGGGGGGTTTGCTCAGGTTTTGGTGTTTTCTTTATGAGGCTGATACAAAACACAGCTTGAGGTCCCCCTGGGGAAGAGGAGGTCTGAGGAGGGTGAAGGATTATTACATTTAGTCTGAGGCCAAGGAGATAGGGGATGGAACAAGGGATGAGGGAAGCCCATGGTCTGCTGCTGGTCCCTGGGGACCACCGTTAAACGCACAAGGCAGGGCAGCAGTGGAAGCGCTCCCAGCTGCACCAGTGCTCCCAGTGATGGCTCCGGCAGCTGGCTGTCAGGGTTCAGGACACATCATCACTGAGCCTCAATTGAACAGCTCAAAGTGAGGGGAGCCCTGACCCAGGAATCAGATCAGGCATTCCATCCCCGTGCTGTCTGTTGCTTAGGAAGGAGCACACTAAAGCACAGGGACTCAAGGAGCAGATGACTTCTTCCCTCGTAGCTCCAGCTCCTTGCCAGCCTGCAAAACGTTCTCTTATAGCTCTTACAGTTTAGTCACATCAGTGGCTGCAGCTCACCCTCTGCTGTGAGCCTGCTGCCCCTCTGCCTCACGCTCAGTCCCACCTCTGGTGACCTCCTCCACTCCCCAGCTCTGAGCAGTTTCAGTTGCCTTTGGGCGCCCTTTTTTCTCTTTCCTCCTAAGATTTTGCTGGGGTTTGGGGGCTTTTTGTGTTTTTTTTAACATTTACGATCAGAAACCCTTTGGTTCACCATCCTCCCCTCCGGTACAGCACAGCTCACAGGGGGACTGTCAGATGTGGTTAGCGCTTGTACGGCACACTGACGGTTAAGGCGTGTGATGAGGCTTTAAGCACTCGGGATCCAGGTGTGCCTCGTGGCAGCTGGCTACGGGCTTATAAACCCCAACGGGGCAGGTTTGTGTGCAGAAAGGCCGTTCCCGAGCCCTCTCCGAGGCTCCCGCTCCTCACCTCATGCCAGGCCCCTACGGACACCCACGGACACCCACGGACACATCACCCCGGGCACCCTGACGGCCGCGGGCCTCGGGACCGCGCACACCGGGAGCAGCAACGGAGAGACGAGTCCCGCACCTGCGCCCCCCGCCCCTGTTTGAAGCAGCCGGACGCCCCTCGGCCAATGGCAGCGGGACTGGTCGCCCCCGCAGCCAATGGCAGCGGGACGGGCCGCCCCCGCAGCCAATGGAAAGCCCGCTGGAGGGAAGGGGCGGGGCGAGCGCGCCCCCGGCTGGAGCCGGGCTGCTGTGGTAAACAAGCGGGCGGGTCTCCCGCTTCCTTGGCGTTCAGGGCAGCCAATGGGCGAGCGGCTCCTCCGCCACCCAGCCAATAGAGAGCGAGGGCGGGGCGCGAGCGTCACGGCGGGCCTCACCCGGTCCGCTGATTGGCTGGCGGCGCCCCCGCCACCTCCCCCGCGCGGCCGGTGGCAGGGGGCGTGGCTCGGCGAGGGGCGTGGCCGGGGCGGTGCTGCCGGCGCTGTCGCAGTGAGCGGCGGGTGCGGGCGGGCAGCGGGAGGCTGCGGCGGGGCGGGAGCCGAGCGGCTCCGAGCGAGCGGGGCTTTCCCCCGGTGCCGCATGGGCAGAGCGGGAGCCGTGCCCCGGGAGCGCGCAGTGCGGCCGGCATCGTCCGCTGGGGTTCGCGGGCAGGGCTGAGGTGTTACCACTGCGGGACCCGGAGGGGCTGGGGCTTGCCGGCGGGTGAGTAACGGGGTGGGAGAGCAGCGCGCCGGGGGGGGGGGGTTGGCGGCGCCTTCGGGGTCGTGCCCGCCCGGGCGAGAGGGCTGGGCTGGGCTGGGCTGGGGCAGCTCTTTCGGACGCGTGCGGCTGCTTGAATGGGGTCCCGCTCCCGTTCCTGGTCCGAAAGTTAAGCTTTGTCTCCTCCAGTGCCCGTAAGGAAGGGACTGGGGGGGAGAGGCAATGGAGAACTCTTTACAGCGAGGCAGAGGTTTGGGAGAAGGGGGGAATTTGCCGGGATCTGTTCAGCAAAAACAAAACCCGTGGAATTTTTTGCCTCAAGAAACTTATCCCGAGCCGAGCTTTCTCGTGGCTTGTTACGAGCCCGCCCGTCCCCAGCCCCTGACAGCTTGGAAAGCGGCGGAGAGGAGCCCCTCGTCCCCTTCGCTCTGGCCCCTCCGGGGGTTCCCTCGCCGGGTGCGGATCTTCCTCTCCGCTGCCCCGCCAGAGGAGCCCGGAGCCCTGGGGACGGTGCAGAGCTGGGAGCCGCTTGCAGGCTGGGGACTTGGTGGCAGATCCGGATAGGGAAGCCGGGCAGGAGGGTGGGTGAGCGGCTGGGGAGACGGCAGCTCCTCCGGGACAAAGGCTTACACCGCCGGCTGCATCCGTCCTGGTGCTGAATGAACGCGCTCTTCTCTCCCCCGCCTCGCAGGGATGCCGCAGCATGAACCCACCGCTTAGAGAGCAGCGATCGCGCCGCCTCGGCACCGCTCCCTGAGCCAGCCCGACAGCAGCGTCCGGCGCGGAGCCTGCACGGGGACTGACGCCGGGAGCCGCTCCGCCGCCCGGCTCCGGCGGGATGCGATCGCCGCCGCCTTCATGCCGGCAGCAGGGACTCTGAGCCGCCGCTCCGCGCCCTGCGAGCCCCTCGGGCAGGGACCCCGGGCAGCGGCGGGGCCCCGGACGGGAGCCGTGCACGCATCGCCCGCCGGCGGCTCCCGGTGAAGGCGCCCGCTGCAGCCGGCGCTGCGAGGGGGGCACCCCTGAGCCTTTCGCCGCCGAGACAAGCGGCGCATCCCGGGGTGGCGGCGGGTCCCACCCGGCGGCCGCGATCCGGTGCCCCATGGTGCTGCTGCGGAAGCTGCCGGGCATGCCGGGCTGGCCAACGGCGCTGGGGCTGCGGCTGCCGCAGAAGTTCCTGTTCCTGCTCTTCCTCTCGGGCCTGCTCACGCTGTGCTTCGGAGCCCTGTTCCTCCTGCCCGATTCCTCCCGCTTCAAGCGCCTCTTCTTGCCCCGCCGCGCCACCGCCTCCACCTCCTCTTCTTCCTCCGCCTCCTCCTCCTCCGCCGCCGCCTCCTCCTCCACCCGCGACACCGACCTGCCCCGCAGCCCGCCCGCCGCCGCCGAGCCCCGCCACGCCAGCCCCGCCGCGCCGCGCCGCCTGCGGGAGAAGCTGCGCTCCGCCGCCCGGCCCGCGCCCCGTGCCCGGCAGCAGGTGCAGGGCGACGGCCGAGCCGAGCCCGCCACCGGCGCTGCCCCCGCGCGGGACACGCGAGCCCCGTTCCGCTTCGACTACGAGCGGTTCCGCCGCAGCCTCCGGCACCCGGTGCGGGGCAGGCGGCCCGGCGAGGACCCCGAGACCCGCGCCCGCAGGATGAAGATAAAGGAGGTGAGGAGCAGCCGCGGCCCCCTCGCTCAGCCCTCGCAGCCTCTCCACTCTCCTCGCACCCCCCTCGCTTCCCCAGCCGTGCCCCCGCATCCCACACGTCCTCCTTGCGCCTCCTTTTCCCAAGGAAGGCGGTGGGAATTGGGGAGGGTCTCTTTCCAACGGGCGTCCCGCAGCATGGCCCCACACACGTGCCGGTCAGCATCCGCACGCATCTCCTCCCTGGAGAGGAAAGGTGAGGGCAGGCTGTGACCTGAATTTAAAGGGATGAAATTAGGCAAAGGGAAATCTCATCTTGGTTATTAGGGTAAAAAATCATGCTTGGGGTGCAAGAGGCCGCCCTGGTGTCCATGTAAACGTGGCTGAGCTGCTCACTGATGAACGTTGTGCTGGTCCATGGGGATGGCGGGATGGGATGTGCCCCTGTGGCTGTCCCGTAACCCGCTCCGGTGCTTGCTCTGGATGGAGCTGGCCTGGGGCTTGTAACCCACTAACAGCGACCCTCCGAGCCCAGGGAATGTCACCAGCAGGGAGGCACGGGGGTGACGGCGGGGACAGGCTGGCCTGGTGCCTACAGCTTGTGCATAAAAGCCTGGCACAAGCAATGCAGAGCAATCTGTGACCCAGTTAACTGAGAGCTATAGATTCTGTGTAGTATTTGATTGTGTTTGTCGTATCTTTTGCTATGATGGATAACCAGCTTGGAGGGATTTCTGGTCTAGAAAGAGCTGCCAGTAAGTAAAATGCATGGATGTAATTAAGCAGAGTACAATATTCCTGGGTTTGCTCTCTCACAGAGGTGTAGGCATTCACCAGAGTTGCTGCCACAGGTTGAACAGAGAAGGAAGTCACAGGTAACATGCCGAGGGCTTTCATCCACCATATCCTGCATTTTAAAACCAGGGGCTTTTTAAAGCTCCCCTCCTGGTATCTCTGACCATCATGAAAACAAAGGCTGCACCGCTGGTAAAATTCCAGCTTCTCTGGCAGACAGCAACCCAAGGTGCTGTGTTTCTTCATGATCCCAAGCAGGATTGAGCCACCCTGTCCTGCATCTTGGCTGCAGGGTATTCAGAATATTCCAGTTCCCACCCCTCATGTGCTTGGAGCTGTGGAGCGTGTGCTTGAATGTGCTGCGTATTCCCACTGTCAAGGTATGCTGGGGTAGCAGAGCACACCCATGAATAACCCAGCTTCTACTCTGTACAAACAAATCGAATTGGAAATTGCATTTCTGGAAGCTAGTGGCACACAGTGCTTTAGTTGTAGTTAATTAGTTCTGAAATATAGGATTATTCCAAGTTGCATGGATTCAGCCCCATCTGTTTATAACAGCCATAATCAGTGCCGGGGAGCAGAGCTAGATTTTTTTTCAAGGATGAGAATCCATAAGTACTGGGTTTATGCTGACAGCTAATTACTCTTCAAACAGAGCCCTTATTCCTTAAAAGTGCCTCTGCCTCTCTTTATGCAGAGCAAGAGAGAAACAAACACCGTGCTGAGATGGGAGCCTGAATGCGCAAAAGGGACACAAGGTGCAGCCTGTGGGAGGGATAAGGTATGTTCTTTCTTCATGACTCAAAAAGACATGAAGAGAACAAACCAAGAGAGGCTGGAAGACAAACGCTGTATAAAAAGAAACAGATAGGAAAAAAAAAAACACCAAAGAAGAAAGAAGTCATGATGCAGCATTTGGGTTTAGCAGAGATTCTTCACGTGATGTGAGAGACGCCAGCAGGGGCAGGCAGTGGGTTTGCTGCTGTTGGAAGGTGGTGTGTGCAGTAGCTTTTCTCTCCTAGAGCTCTAAGCCCTCGACTTCGATAGAACGTGTTGCTGACTGGCCTGGTACTTAAAGCTTTGGGTTCCCTGCCTGCTCTCCTTTAGCCCATTCTTGCAGGTCAGCACCTCTGTAACAAGGAAGATGGATAGGGTTAGGATTTGTTTTCCTCCAGCTGTCTGCCAGAGCCTAGATGAAAGCCAGGAGAAGGAACTGGTGCAGGATCAAAGACTAGGGCTGATGTGCAACCTGGAGACTTGGATCTTTCTATCTTCTGATAGGACCCTTCCATCTGAGCAGGCGTCTGCTCTTTCCCACCCAGCCTCTAAGCTGCTTGATGCTTCAGCCAAAGAGGAGGATGTATCATTAGTTTCTTGGCTGTTACGCGTGGAAAGGATCAGCTAATGTCCTGTTAGACATTTTCTGCTTAGAAGACAGTGCTGCCCAGAGTAGGAAACCCACCACTGTGGTGGCTCCCACTTTACTGCTGCCTGGGAACACTGAGCAGTACTGGGGCATCAGAGCTGCTTGGAGATGGGTCTGGCTGGGGGGTTATCTGCCTCACTTGCCATGTGCTTTGAGTGCTGTGTTTCCTACTAATGCAGCAAGGAAGAGAGGTGGGTTAGAGGGTTGAAATGACTCCTAGAAGCCTGTTAAAAGGAGTAAGTGGTGCACTGACCTGAGCTGTTGTGTGCATGCAGGTATACTGGTTTGCACTGGTGAGTAACTTAGCAGAGTGGCTGGCCGCTTAGGTTTGACTTAAGACAATTCCAGAGGCAATGAGCAGTTGTTTTCCTGAGAAGGAAAGAAGAGATGCTCTGTATTGCACTGGCTGCTGGCTGCAAAAGGTCGTTGGTCACCTGGAGAATTGCCTGGGATGTGCTGCTCCGTGGTCCTGTGGGCAGCCGAGTGTCGGCGGCACGCTGACCTTTCAAAGAAGGCTGCAGTGAAACCAGGTGACAATCTCCCTATGCTGCAGGCTGGGAAACATAAAAGGGCCTGGGATTATTCATCTCTTAAAGTGAGCTCTGAGACACGTTTCAGTTGTGCAGTTGATCAGTCAGGCTTGGCTTCGGGAATAGCTGATTTTTCACACGTGCCAAAGGGTAATCACTGATGTTCAAGAAAGGATAAAAAGAGAAGGGAAGTGGCTGCAGAAACGCCACAGTGGGATTCCAGAGTTATTTGCTCTCAACAATTTCCAGCTCAGATTGTGACTTTTCACTGAGCCAATGGTTTCCCCTCCAAGTGCCACTGCTGCGCACTCAGAGCTGGGAAAATCCGACCGTGTGGTTTCTGCCTTTTGCATCATAATCACTGAGAAAGGTGATGCTGTTGGAGCTGAGCTGACAGCTTTGCTGATGCTGGGTGAAGCAGAACGGAGTGCTCCGTGCTGTTGCTGTGTTGGCTTCGTGGGTCTCACAGGTAGGGAAGTAGTGGGGAGAGAGAACAGCTCTTCCCTAAAGTATTTTTACACCAGCTCTGTTAATGCCACCCAGTGCTTAAGGACAACAGCTGTGACAAGCTGGACCAGAAAGTGTTCATCAGTGGGATTAAGCTAGCGATCTGTCTTCTGGTCATGAGATGATGGGGAGAATGGAACAGTGAAAGAGATTTACTTTTTCTTTTCCTCTTTGGGCACAAAAAGCAAGTTTCCTTGCCTGGTGTCCGAGAATACCCAATTCCTGATGGTGTCCTTTGTCCCTTTCAAGTAAGGGAATATGTCAAATTCAGGCAGGCTTTTAGCCCTCTGCTGGGATCGTACCCTTGGGTTTGACACATGCATTCATTTCCTCCAGACTAGTAACACTGAAGCCTATTCATTTTACAATATGGTTCTCTTCATCCTGGCTTTTCTCCTGTCTCCACCTTCCTCTCCCTCTCCTTGCTGTCTCCTGGCCTCGTTTAACACAGCTCTAAAGATGGATTGGCTTTTGAAAACCAGGCCCCAGGGGGAAGAAGTCCATCAGAGGCGGTGCACGCAGCTACCCTGCATCGCTCTCCTGTTAAGCTTAGCAGCTCCTGTTAAGGTAGATCAGTCTTTCAAACACAAACATATTGACAGTTTGTCACGAGAGGATCATTGGCAAGAAGCAGGAATGGTATCAGGAGCTCAGCTCTTCCGGACAGCTTCTTGGTGCTGGCTGCTGCTCCCATTGTGGGGTTTCACAGCCCTGAGCTGCCATCCGGGAGCAAGCTCCTGGTCTTGGGAAGCTCTGCTTGTTCTCCTGAGCCCGAGATGCTGCCCTGGTGGGAGACGTGCCTGGTGGAGTGGGGCTTGGAGCAGCTCTCAGGTGAGTTACAAGGGGCCTGGTCACACACCTGTGAATCCCATTCTTGGTTGTCCTGAGCTATTTCATACCTGAAGCCAGCAGGAGAAAGACTTCAGACTCTCCCTTTCCCTGCCCTGTGCTACTTGTATTCCTGGAGAAAAAGCCTTTTCTGTCCGTAATCTGGGGGTGAGCAGTACTGCAAGCAAATAACGGAGTCCCTCAGTGGCTTCCACCTGTATTTAACACCACAGCACGTCCCCATGCACACCTTTCTCACTGAGATCCATGGAAAACTCTTATCTGAGAGCATTTCTCCGCACTTTGAGGCCCTGGCTGCCTCCAGGCTTGCTGGAATTTGCCTTTGCTCCCTCTTCCTTCTCATGCATTTATTTGCTGAACCTGTGCAAAGGGGTTTTCTATACTGCACATCCCTCAGGCCGTGCATCCAGTGTGGGTTTTGCTTCCCCAGCCTCCAGTGGATTCACACAAACAAAGTTTAGACCTCGCCTGTCTGAGACTCTTTTGGCTGTTGAGGATGCAGGTAAAGGACTGAAAACTTATCTGTCCTATTGGCATGATGCATGAGTGTAGATAGTAGTTCCCATGCTGTGATCCGTGCTGCAGTGCTGTTTGCCATAGAGGTGCCAATGGCACCTTAGTGCATTTTGGAATTTGGGATACCGTGAGGATGTTTGTTCTTACCTACAGAATGCAGGAGGAAAGCACTTGTTCCACAACAGCTGAGTTTGGTGCAAGGCTGATTTGGAAACTACCACTTAGAGACAAATGCACTGCTCATCACACGACAAACTGGCTGGAGTGTGGACCTCTCCAGGCAATGTCTGACTGTGTGTGCTGGCTGTGGGGAAATGAGCTTCCAGGACACACACGTGTTGTGCAGAAGGATTTACACCTTGTGAATGCACACAGGCTCTTTGAAAGTTCTCAGCTAT